TGAGCCACCGCGCCCGGCCCCCTGACCCTCTTTTAAATTCTTGTTGTGCTTCCTATCAATCTAATAATTCTCAGTCCTTAAAGTATGAAGATTACATTCCTAAGCCAAAAAACTTATAAACCTTCCACAGAGTTTTGCACCCTGACTAAGCGCGAAGGTGGAGATGTCCTTGGCAGAAGGGGGACTTGTTTATGGGAAAGGGCTGTGTCACTGAAGCATGTCATGGCATGTGCCACAGGGCATCAGTCACATGAGAGCCTACAGGAAAATGTTTCCATATATTCATTCAATAATATTTTAGTGCTCATCGTGCGCTAAGCAGTAAACGAGAGATAGAACCCTACTCTCAGGAACGCACAGAAGAGTCCAAAGTCACAGACAGATGGGATTAGAGAGAGCCATAATGGACATTATCATATAACAAAGTCTTTGAAAAGTTCCACCATTAAAAAACAAAAACAGACCATTCTGGGTTTAGTATTATTTGTCCAAACTAACAGAATCCCTCCCCAGTTTTGTTTTTGTTCCCCCCCCCGCCCCGCCCCTTCCCTGGCAATATCTACCAAGATCCCACGCAACTAGAACTCTGTGGAACACACTTCGGGAAACGCTGAGTAAGCACAATTCAAATACTAAGAAGGAAATGCTGAACCTTGGAGAGAAGAAAATACACAGTTTGGAGATTTGAGGAGAGGGGAACTCTTTCTGGGACAAGAACAACTGGAAACCCCACGTAACACGGTGAGAGGGTGGGAAGGAGGAGGGAGTGGTCAGGGAAACATGCCAAAGGTTCTGATCCTTCTAAGTGGTTTTCCTCAGACCCTAAGTGATAGAGTCGGAAGAGGGAGATCAATAAAGAAAAAGTGACTTCTGATGTTTCTAAACTTGCCCCTGCCAAGCGTCACTACAGCTCCGTCCCCAGCAGGACGAGGTGGCAGTTACCGCTGAGGAACTCTAAACTAGCTCCGGCGCCTCTCCATCTCTCCCTCTGCCCCTCAGTCTTGGGGGAAAGAATCTTGGATAGTCGCCTCCTCTTTGTGAAGTTCAAAGTCCTGGTCGTATTTGCAGAATTCAAGTAATCCGGGTTACTTACAGAGTGCGACCATGTTTACTTTGCATTGTGGTTGTTGCATTAATATCCCAAACCGCTACTACTCAATCCTGCAGTGAAATTGCACGTTAAGGCAGAAAGATCAGCAAACATAATTTTGACTGCATACTTCACATGCATGACTATGGTGATATGCACAATTGCATGAAGGTCATACATGACGAGGCTCACTCTGCAGTGTGAAAGAATGGTGCTTCTCCCAGTGGACTCACCCAGGCAGCCCACGTACGGACTCTGCGGATGAGAATTCCTGGAGGCTGCATTGTCAAAATGCTACTCACAGGCTTGGAAAAAGAAAAAACACAATGCACTTTTCTCATATGCTTGAAATATTTCATAACGAGGAAAAGCCACAAGTATTCCATTTAGCCTAAATGAGGTTATTGAGCAGATGCCAGAGCTGTTTCAAAACCGTGTGTGCAGTACTGGCAGCAAGCATCCTGTGTAATGCGAGAGCTTTCAGCTTCTCCCAGTGAAAACAGACGAAGTCAGGAACACCAATGAGAACCTAACCGAGCATCAGCCTTACTTGCCAATCTTGCTGTTACTTAGTATTTTCCAATAAAAAACTAAGTCAGTGAACTTAATCAGAATGACAGCTCTCAGGTGTATATGTTATGGTAAAATTAACTGGCACAGTAGAATAATCCAAAGAGTCAGAGTGAATATTATATACTTGAGTATATAATGCTTTTTCATACATAACAGAAACATATTAATGGAAACTATATAGTTCCATACATTTGGGCCTTCCTATTGTGTGTAAAATTTTATTTATTTTATAAATATTTTGATGGCTTTACTCAGATGAAATTTCTATTGTCTTCATAACCTAAGAAGGAGTTTTAAAATTTTAGCAATAATAATTTAAAAGTTTTGACTTGTTTTCATTTTCACTAATGAATTTTTAGAATCCCTTTACGGTGGATATTCTTTACAACATTATGTCTTTTTCTCTAACAAACTGGCAAACACTTTAAAAAATCATCGTATCACCAGTAAGACTCAGAGAAATAGGCACTTTCATACATTGTTGGTGGAAATGGAATTTGGAACATACTTTTGAAAGTCAATTTGGAGACACACACACGCATACGCATGTTCATGCATATGTATGTTATATATGTGTATATATAAATACACATAAATACATGCATTGACATATATGTAGTTTTGGCCAATCTCTTAGGGATTTTCTTACAAAAATATTAGAACATGTTCATAGTTATTAATAAAGATGTTCATTGCATTCTTCTAGGTGCTTATAGGTGAAAAAGTAGGAGCAACTGAAATACATTTAATGGAAAAGTTGAATAAATCACATTGTAGTCACACAATAGTTTACCATGTATCCACCAAATCACTTGTAGAATAATACCAAATGACATGTTAAAGCATTGATGCTATATTGAAAAAGCATGTTATGGCCGGGCGCAGTGGCTCACGCCTGTAATCATAGCACTCTGGGGGGCTGAGGCGGGAGGATCGTTTGAGCTCAGGAGTTCGAGACCAGCCTAAACAAGAGTGAGACCCCATTTCTACTAAAAAAAATACAGAAAGAAATTAGCTGGACAACTAAAAATATATATATAAAAAATTAGCCAGGCATGGTGGTGTGTGCCTGTAGTCCCAGCTACTCGGGAGGCTGAGGCAGGAGGATCGCTTGAGACCAGGAGATTGAGGTTGCTGTGAGCTAGGCTGACGCCACGGCACTCTAGCCTGGGCAACACAGTGAGACTCTGTCTCAAAAAAAAAAAAAAAGAAAAGAAAAAGCATGTTACACAATACCACATATGATATAATAATGCCATGTTTATCTATATCCAGAGAAAATACTAGAAGACTTTCTGCCTAAATGTTAACAATGGCCATACTTGGATGATGAATTTATGGATGAATTTTTATTTTTTTCTTAGAGTTGTCTCCGTTTTCCAAGTTTTCTGCTATGAATGTGTATTATTTATGTAATAAATAAACACAATACATGTCACAAGTTTCCGAATACATTCATATGCTTTGGCCTGGCAATTCTATTTTTAGGAATATAGCTTAATGGAAGGAAATAGCTACACATATAAAGATATATTTACTACTATGTTATTTCCTGTCTTGTTTATAATAATAAAATACTAGAAGCAACTCATACGCCCAACAATAGGGAATTGCTTTTAAACAGTGCATTCATACAACAGAATACTGCAGAATCTTTAAAATCAGACTCTTAAAAATATTTAAGAATAAGGGGAAATGCTCATAATATATTAAGTAAAAAAGGCATGCAGACAGATTGACAGATTGGCAGAAATCATGCATTCACAATTTTGATTGCCTAGAAAAATATTAGAATATACAATAACTTGTTAATAGGGATTACCTCTGGGTGGTGATCTTATTTATAGGCTTTGATTTTCCTTTTTTATAATTTTTTATCCTTTCAACAATATAATTTTTATGGGTAGAAAAATATGTAAACAATAAAGAAGTTTGTTTTATTGCCACCAGTACTAAGATATACAATCTACATGAGCATGGTCCCTCCAAATATTTTCTTCAAGTTATTTCTATTCTATTTATCAACCTACCACACAGTAATATAGGGATATTTAAATATTTCTCCTTAGTCCTGGGTCTCTTTAACAAATAATAGGAACACTATTGACCAAAAGATATGCTTTGCTCTATAACATGCTTAAAACAACAGAGGAAAGGGAAATTCAGTGGACTGGCCCCAGACTCACATTTCTGAATCGCGACACAAGACACTCTTAATCATTTACCTCATCAGAATCTAGGTAGGCAAAGGTCAAAGCAGTTTCAAGTGCAGTAACACCTTAGGTGTAGTGTAGCCCTCCTCCCCGAGTCAACGGCCAACCACAGCATGAAGGTTTTTTGAGTTCAGTGAGAAAGTTTATACCTTTAACATGGCTATAGTAATATCCGTGGATTGTTACAAATACTAGATAGATAGGATATGCATACATGTGGAGCAAACACACGCACAGACACACACATCCATCTCTGCTTGGAGGACTGTGGGGAGAAAAAGCATCTGTATGCACCTAGTTACTTAGTATATCTTTTATGTTGCAAAAGGCTTAGCCTTACCATGCCATACTGCATGGCCAGCAATGAGCCCCAAAACTGACCCATGTGCTACTGATGCGGGGGCTCGGTGAGTATTTCCTGAAAGCCTGTGTCTAAAACACGGTTCTGGCCATATGAGACAAAAAAGACACAGTCCCTCCTTCCTTCCTAGATGAAGACACAAAGATAATTATGTGGATCTCATGTAATTTTTTAATGTTTCTCTTCTCCAATAAAATGGCAAAACAGTAATTGCAATTTAGTGATTTTTCGCCTAAATTTAGTGTGATACCACTCTAAGAGTTCAGTTTAAAATCATTGCCGTATAACCTAAGACTACCCCTAGTGAAATCTACCAAACATATGTAGTTTTAAAATCTGACATAATTTATGTAAATATTAAGGATAGGGTGCAGTAGATAATGATTTCTCCTGGCGGAATACCTTCCACTGATTTCTGACCTCATGCAATTCATTCACTACTTTCTAGTTTTAGGAGAGGCTTTTAAAATGCAACAGGGCAGCAGTTTTTACTTTCCGGATGAGCAGGCAGCACTGAAACCAAGGGTAGATAAACATCAGACCCACGAAATAATGAAAAGGTGGAAAGCGCAAAGGAAACGCGAAGAATTGTGAATAGGAGGCAGCTAGGTGAGGCTCAGGCATGTCAAGCAAAAATGAGTATTTACTTGGTCTGTCCGTTCTCCGTGTAGGTGGTTCTGTAGAAGCCCACGAGGGAGGTGTTCAGCCAGCCGGCGAACTCCAGGGTCAGGACGTAGAGACCGTCGCCACCGCTGGGGGGAAGCTCTTCTTCCGCCTCGACCACCAGGTACTCCTGCGTCTTGTACTCGAAGCATCGCTTAACGGGCACCTGCTGCCCGGAGGGCGCCCGCAGCAGCGGGAGCTGCGTGATCCTCGTCTCCCGCAGGTGCAGCCACAGGTGGCGCGTGGGCGCGCTCACGTTGACGGAGATGCTCACGGTGCCCGAGTAGGTGTCCTCCTCCAGCAGGGGCCGCACCTCCAGGTCGTAGTGCGCGGGGCTGAGGAAGTCCGGCAGCCTGAAGTCCGTCCACTGTCCGCTGTCGTCTTCGCTGGCAGGGCACACGTCCTGGTCCTGGGGAGGAAGGGACGCGGCAGGAGGCAGGAGGGACGGGGCGGGCGCTGTGTCCTGCCCGCAGTCGCCCGCGGAGTCGCACGATCTGGTCAAGCCCACGGCGAGTCCTACTACTAATCCCACTGCCACCACCACCGCACAGATGACGGCCACATGCTTCGTTCGAATGCAGTATCTCTTAGAGCCCTCGGCCTCCGCAAAGTTCATGTTTGTTTCCCAAGTCTAAGGTTGCACAGCAAAGGATGTTAAATTTAGCTAACGAACGTCAGCAGACTTCCTTTTCGGATTGGAAGGGATCCCCTGGTTTGGCAGCCTGGTTTCGCTTTTCCCACACCTCTGGCTTCCTGCGTCCTCTCCTCTGTCCCTTCGTCCCCACCGGCCCCTCCAGGATGAAGGGGGGACAGGGAGTGGGAGAAGGAGGCCCTAAGGGGACCCGAGCTGCAGGAGGAGGAGGACTGCCCAGAACATTGTCACCGCTCCTCTTATAAGCGACACATCCCCACCCCTACCCTTCCTGCAGCTGGAGCAAGTTAAACATAAAACAGGGCTCAGCTTATCAGCCGTGAGAGGACGATCCTTTGCCAAAGCTCAAAGCTCCGTCAGCAGCTTTTAGGGAGAAAGCCCGGGTGAGGTGTGCTTACGGTGGAAAGTCGCAACCTTTGCCACCAGGTCTGCGGCTTCTTCCTGCTGTGTTCACGGTCTCTCCCTAAACTGAAGGGCTCCTTGAATTTCAGCTGTTTATTCAGGTCGTTCGCCAAAGAAGCCAAGTGTTTTCTTTTCACTCTTTTTTCCTCTTATAATGTCAACACTCAAACTCCGCCCTTTGGAGAAGTCATGTCCTGGAGTTGCAGACACAGATGCGTCGACCACTGAAGTGCTCAGCAAACGTTTGTCAAACTGGTGGATTTGCACAGCACAGCCAGGTGACCCTAAATCAGTCCAGCTGACACTGGGTGACAGAGAGAGGGGGACATGCAGACGTTACCCAAAGCAGTGCTGGAGCTGGAAAGCAGAAGAGAAGAGAGAAAGCGACAAGAGGAAGGGCTTGTCTGCGCGGTTTGCCCCCAGGTGCGATTGACTTCCGTAGACTGTGATCTGACAAAGCAGGTCTGGCGCACATTCCAGATTGGAAAGTGGCCTGCGGGGAGATCCGTTATCAGCGCAGATCTGCTGCTCCTGAATGACAGGGCAGAGGAGCCCGTAATCACAGTGACCTCCGTATTTATGGGTAGCTTAGACGTAGACACCCAAGCCACCTCTATGAATAAGAGCACTACTAAAATAATTATAAAAATTTTGAGAGTCTTCTATATGCCACGCACTATGGTAATATTTTATGGGAGTTATCATCTAAATCTTCCCAACCACCCTATGAGTTTGGGAGTATGAAAATACCCATTTTAGAGATGGGAAGACTGACGTTTGGAGAGATCCGTCATTGCTCAAGGTCACACAACTGGTAAATAGCAGAATTGGGGTTTGAACCCAGGTTGTCTGAGTCAAAGTCTGTGTATCTAACTACTATATTACCCTGCCTCCATCTCTGAAGAGGAGAAATAGTCAAGGGTTAAGTAACTATGAAAAAATAAGTATTTCCAAAATGCAATCTATGGATATTGACAGATATACTTGCAGAGCAGGCCATGCTGGGTTAGGTAAATTTAAAAATCTTTTCTTACGCTCTACTTTCGCAGAGCCTCTAGACGGTGACGTGCATTGTGAGCCAACAGAGAGAAAACGCTATGGAGTACTTGCCACGGTTAGCAGACGAGAGAGCGTTTTGGGGCGAGGTGCTTTTTGATGGGCTTGTGTCCCATGGAATACACTCTGAGAAATGAGGCTTTAAATTGTCCTAAAGTACAAACTAAACAAAACAAAAAAACACACACAAAAAAACTTTAAAAGCAAAAGGATCCGTTTTACTCTATAGCGTTTCTGTTGTTTTCTCATAAAATAGTAACAAGAGAAGAAGAATTAAAGGGAAGACTAAAGTATAGGACCATCTTGTATTTATTAATTTTATATTCTGAAGCAATCCTAAACTTTTTGAGATCATAGTATGTTTCAATTTGGCAAATCGACTTCCTGATTTTTAGCCCTTGAAACCCCCCTTTTATTGAAAAGATTATCTGACATTTCACTAAATGTTTGATGGGTCAAATATCTTGATGTGTTTCTCAAAAACAAAAGATGAATTATGGGTCAAATTTAGCTCAACATATTGAAAGGAAAAATGAAAAGGAAAAGTATTTGGAACAGGCCGGGCGCGGTGGCTCACGCCTATAATCCTAGCTCTCTGGGAGGCCGAGGCGGGCGGATTGTTTGAGCTCAGTAGTTCGAGACCAGCCTGAGCAAGAGCGAGACCCCGTCTCTGCTAAAAATAGAAAGAAATTAATTGGACAACTAAAAATATATAAAAAAAATTAGCCGGGCATGGTGGCGCATGCCTGTAGTCCCAGCTACTCGGGAGGCTGAGGCAGAAGGATCGCTTGAGCCCAGGAGTGTGAGGTTGCTGTGAGCTAGGCTGACGCCACGGCACTCACTCTAGCCCAGGCAAAAGAGTGAGACTCTGTCTCAAAAAAAAAAAAAAAAGTATTTGGAACAATGTACACAAAATTATGTCGAACTGGAAACTTTTTTTTGTTTTGTTTTTGGTTTTGTTTTTGTTTTCATTTCTTTTTTTTTTTTGAGACAGAGTCTCGCTCTGTTGCCCAGGATAGAGTGCCGTGGCGTCAGCCTAGCTCACAGCAACCTCCAACTCCTGGGCTCAAGCGATCCTCCTGCCTCAGCCTCCCGAGTAGCTGGGACTACAGGCATGCACCACCATGCCCGGCTAATTTTTTCTATATTTTTTTAGTTGTCCGGCTAATTTCTTTCTATTTTTAGTAGAGACGGGGTCTCGCTCTTGCTCAGGCTGGTCTCAAACTCCTGACCTCAAGCCATCCTCCTGCCTCAGCCTCCCAGAGTGCTAGGATTACAGGCGTGAGTCACCACGCCCAGCTGGAAACTTTTTTTTTTAATCTCAGAAAAGGCAAACACATGTGAAATCTCTTAAAGTCAACCCTGTCTAGAAAACCAGAATCTTATCACCAGGCCTATGCTTGGGCTAGACAGGACAAAGAAGATAACAGATCTTTGGGACGGAGGACACTTACGGAGGATTGAGAATGGCCACCTGCTATGAAATATCCCTCCTATTCTGCCTTAGATTCCACCATAAGGGATGCATTATCTAAATGCAATTTTTTGCTAGAAGAAATAAAATACCTTAAATCCAAGTACGTAGTGTGTGTGTGTATGTGTGTAAATTTTGAGTCTAGGGCCCTGTTCTAGCCACAGCATCTTATCAGCATCCACCTGTGAGAGGTGACTGCATTCAGCAAAGGGCACCACCTCGTACCAGGGTCAGCACAGTAGGGCCGCCTAAAGGTGACAGCCATAAAACGCAGCCAGATGAGTGGAGGCAGCAAAGCCAGCGTGCGCACTAAACACATCTGCGGTCAACATGTGAGGGTTTACCAAAAATAAAGCCCCCAGGTCTCATAATTTGACACTTGTTTCCATTGCAGCAGTGCTTGCTGTCCTTCCACTGACACGGGAAGACTCAGTCTGAGGCAGAAGGCTCTTGATTCCAGCCAGATCCAATCCACAGTAACTACCAAGACAGCTACCTGGGGTGGAGGAGAGATTTAGATTGAGAATCTACGCCTACAAGGAGACCAGTGACCCATCACAGGTAACTACCTAGGTTAAAGTTTTTATTGGATGATCTTATGTTGAATGAATCTACAATAAATACAAGTGATTTGAAAAGGCTACTCCTGGTCGGTTTCCCTTCTTAGACCCAAGACAGTGGAGTGAATGGACAGCCGGTCACTGCAGATCCTAGATCACTCCCCACATAGCTTTTGATAATACATATTATCATCATCTATTTTAAGTACAAAGTCGAGTATTTGTTCCTTATTTGACACTCATAAGTGTTTATTGATTGCTTATTGAATAAACAAATGAACACAGACAGGAAAGAATACTAAGAATCCAGAATGGGAAGGGTTAATGCACATTGTCTACTAGAAATGTTGAGATAAAATAAACTCGTTCAAATTCCAAGAAAGACTGGAAAGATGTTCCCTGGAGGTGAGGACCAGGACACCACATGTGATCTGAGTAGGGGAGGGACTTCTTGCTGATTCCTTCCCCTGGCAGGCAGACCGATGCAAGAGACCCACTCTAATATTGAATTCCTCATGTGTACCTCTCTTTTCCTCTTGCAGCTTTGATTTAAAGCTTTTCTGACAGGTACCGGAAATTACATATCCCACAGAGGCTATTGGGCCTTCTGTGTCCATGGGGTGCTATCTCAATCCTGTTTTGTGTTGCCACAGCAGAATATCTTAGTCTGCCGTACATAGCATACAGTTCTGCAGGCTTGGAATTACAAAAAGCATGGTGCCAGCATCTTTGGCTTCTGGTGAGGCCTGTCGTGCTGCAACAAAATATACAGAAGGTCAAAGGGGAAGCAGACACGTGCCAAGAGGCAACACCCAAAGGGTGTCCTGGCTTTATACAACGAACTGTTGAGGAAACGAATCCCTTCCCTCGAGAACGGATGCAGTCTTGCCAGAGCGAGGACCCACGTCTGCAGAATGGCTCCAAGCCACCCACGAGGACAGAGCCCTCATGACCCAAACACCTCCCATTAGGTCCCCCTCCCAACACTGCCACGTTGGAAATCAAATTTCAACATGGGTTTTGGTGGGGACCAGCCAACCACATCCAAACGACAGTGTGTGCTGTTGACTCACCCAAGCACTCACAGTGTACCCACCATTGCTGTCAACCACTAACACTATGGTGTGATTATCTGGCTGGCACTTTACTCCAATCAGTTCATCTGAGCTGGACCCCACGTTCAGGAAAACAACAAATGAACAAAAATCGCAAGCCGGGTTCACAGCGGAGGAAGCACAATCTGCAAATTGGGCTATATTATATATGGACCGGACCAGGGAGCACCTGAACCAGCTTCTTTCCATCTTACCACAAGGTCATTATCATCAAGCATGTAAGTTCTATAAACCCCCATGGTCAATCCATGCGTTTCCAAACTTTAAAGCGTTAGTTGGAGTTGAAAAAGAGAGCGCCATTGTATCTGACTTGGCTAACCCCAAGTTCTAAATCCATATGGGTGCCATGAACAGAACCTTTTCAAAAGAAGACAGACTAATGGCCAGAAAACATATAAAAAAGTGCTCAACATCTCTAATCATTAGGGAAATGCAAATCAAAACTACAATGAGATATCCCCTAACTCCAATGAGAATGACCCTTATCAAAAAGTCCCAAAACAACAAATGCTGGCGTGGATGTAGAGAGATAGGAACACTCTTACACTGCTGGTGGGACTGCAAATTAGTACAACCCTGTGGAAAGTAATATGGAGAGATCTCAAAGAACTAAAAAT